GCTTTTCAAAGCCGGCGATTACTTTGAAAGGCGCGCACCCACGCCGGAAAATAAAGGTTCCGTCCCACTCGCGATCGACAAAGGACGCGAAAGGCATTCCCCGCGATTAAACATCATTTACGGCCGCGCCGCGTTATCATGTTGCCGGTAATCGGCCGATTTATCTCTTTTATTCGACGCCGTCGATCACGGTGCACGGTCTTTCTGGGATCCTTCAATTTTCCGAGGACTCCGAGGGATGAACGCCGATCGATGCAAGCGAATTCGCGCTAAGCCATTGGCTACAGCAGAATTTCACGTCAACGCGTGTTTGCGAGGAAGTTTGTTGAAATGGGAACGCTGAATTGAACTAAGTTGAACTGATATAGAGTAATCGTTTATGTAGCGTATGACTAATGAGAGATACAGTTGTTAGGATTCACTTGCGTCGGATCTAAGCGAGCTGCGATTATTGTTAATAAGACTTTTCGGGCGCCTATAGTACACTAAAGTTTTCAAGCGCCTGTAGGCGTCAACAGCAGCCAAGGGGTTAGATATTAATAATTACAAAACAAACTGGAACTCATTTCGGCTGGTACGGTAGTTCTAGCGTTAATTCTTTGCAGTCGGAAGTTTTTCGTTAGGTATACTCAATATTTTCGAATAAGATATAGCCGACGTTCTTAGAAATTAGTAATGAGAATATATACATAAGTTAACCCTTAGCACTCCAGGTTATATTGTAATCTTTCAGCAACTGCAACTAATTTTTATAGTATTCCTACCGAAAATGAGAAATGCTTCTTAGTACAAAATTTGGATCTGAGGTGAATCTAATAATTTTAGGGTAGTTTCTTTAAGATTCATTAAAATATTCAATATTATTCCTGGTGCAATATTGGAGCCTACAGAGTTCAAAGGGTAAACAACAAAGATATTCTCTTTCAATATTTCACGTATCGATGCATTATACAATATTTAATATTATTTATAATGTTTCGCAACGTTGTTATACGAAGCGAAGCGTTGAATAAGAGTCAGCTGCCGAGCACGAAGGGTTAACGCGCCGCAAATGGGGTGAACGGGACGTTCCATTCGCCCAGCAGGCGCGCCTCGAGAAGCCAAACGCGTCGCGATGCATTCTCCCCGAGCAAATCCGCAACAGTGCCCTTACAGGGCCGGGAATTCCTCAAGTTACCGGCGAGGCGGCGAGTGGCCGAGGGTTCCGGGCGCAAGGGTGGCACACCCGTTCAACGAATATTTTCATTTCCGCTGCTTAAGCCCGCGCTGGAACGCGTTTGTTAACGGCCAGCATAATCCCGGCCGCGAGAATAATTAACCGAGAAACCGAATAACTGGACCGCGGAATAATGCAGCTGCGCCAAGAAAACAAAAGGCGAGCGCGCACGAAGAAAAAGGGGAAGAAAGCCGGAACGGGGATGGGAGGATCCGATGCGAAGGTATTTTTCCCCGTGGAATTGCTCGGCGGAGGGGTGGGAGCGCCCGGAATAATCAGCTTTAAAGAAAAACAAAGGTTCCGGGGGCTGGGGGGCGAGAAGGTGGCTGTTTAAGAGGGATTAAACGATTGTCGCAGCCGTTTGAACGCGCGACTATTCCCCGGCGATTTTGCGCCCCCGAACATACGCTCGGGCTGCGTTACAACGCGGTTACCATGAAATTCGCTCTGCCATCTTATCGAACGCCCGTCTCTTTCCTTCTTTCCCTCGTTTCCGTCTCCTTCCTCGTCGATCTTGCTTCTACCCCATTCCTTCTCATTCTCGGTTTTTCTCACCGTGGAAGTTAACCCTTTGCACTCGAGAGATGATTCTCAGTCACCACTTGATTTGATTTGCAGCAATATAAAGTCTTAATATTATATATAAGACTAATATTAATTGAAATTGAAATAAAATAACTTTCCTTCTTAATTCATATATGTTTCCTCGTTAATTGGTTTCAAAGAACATCGTCTGTATCTCATCGAAGAATATTGAATATTTCCAGTGAAAAAGTAGTTCTTCCCCTCTCTCTCTCTTTCGTTTTTCCCCGTTTCTTATCTTTCTCTCCCTCTCCTTCTCTGTTACCTACACTCCCTCTGTTTTATTCTTCTCATACATCCTTCGTCTTCTTCCCCATTCTTCCTTGCCATGAAATTTGATAGCACCTTGCGGAACGAATGTTTCTCTGCCCCATTTTTGCAGCTTATCCTCCTCGCTCCGCTTCTTCTCACCATCTTTTTCACTGTTTCATTTTCCACCCCTCTCGCTGTCCTTACCCCACTCTTTTGTCATTCCTGGTTCCAGTCACCATGACAGGGTCTCGCCGAATTACTGGTTCCCTCATTTTCCTCTATTCCTTCTCTCCTTCAGCTTCTCTGCTATCTACACCATCTGTTTTATTCTGTTTATACGTCCTCTATCTTCCTCCCTTATCATCTGCCCATGAAGTTTGATAGCACCTTGCCGAACGACTGTTCCTCCGCCCCATTTTTCCAGCTCATCCTTCCCACTCTCTGTTGTTTGCTCTTTCATTCTTCCGGCACTCCCCTCTCGTTGCTCAGGCAAAATCGACGGCACGGCAACACTCCGCGAACAGTGCACTCGCGGGAACGGTGCACGCCCCCGCCGACTTAGTTATGCAATCTCTCGCGGCGCGCGATATTCGACCGCGGGTCATTAGAAATTTAAATCGCCGCCGCGGAACGATAGAAATTTCTGGGTAAAACCCGCCCAGGGCGTACGAGCATTCCCGTGTCCCGCCCCTGTCCTTATCCGGCCGCTTATAAAAAGAAGGATTTACCGTTTCCCTCGATTAAGCCGCGGCTCCGGCTCGAAGCGTGTCCGACCACTCTTCGATTCGACCCGCTTTACTCGCCGCGAATACATTAGCTCGGGTCGTAAATAGCGGACGTATGAATGAGTAATACAGCCAGCGCGGCGGACGCGCGCCGACGTTTCGCCGTTAACGCAACCACTTTCCGAGCAACGATTGCGCTCGATCGATCGCTGACTGACGGGAATCGAAGAGACTTCGATGGAATTCGGGAACGTTCTTCCCGATATTTTGCTTCGATTTAGCGCGATGGTTGTTCTTGTAACCATAATAAAATTAATTGAATAGAAGGAAACGCGATGCACTGTCGGGCGGAAGTTCGAGCACGTCGGAGTCTTCATTGAAAGCTAAAAGATCTTAGAAAGGTTGCGAGAAACAGAAGTAATTAGTTGAGAAATATTACCGTGAGAAATGGAGTTAATTAGTTTCGGGAATAGTATTATAAGAAACGGGATTAATCAGCTTCAGGAATACCATTACTCGAAACAGAATGAATTAATCCCGGGGATCCTATTATCAGAAGTAGAAATTCCGCCGAGATATGCCACGAGGTAAGAAGATTACCACGAAATTTCTTATTAATCGAATTCTCATTCCCTCCTCGACTTTCACTTGGAATAAAATATTCAATAAATTCCTGCCTCGCCCCGACACCAAAGAGAATGTGTTTGAACAAAGAAATATCCCTGCCGAAACGTCGGACGGACGCTATCTCCCGGCGAAATATCTCGTCCGACATCCCGAAGGGATGCGCCGCGGGTTGGCTCCGAATAAAATCAATTATTCATTGAAGGTTATCTACAGTCAGAGTCCGATTGATTTCGTTGGGACTGTAGCCTTTAAATTCAGTTACCCTTCCACGCT